AATGATGGTTTCCAGCTGCATCCATGTCCCTACAAAGGACACAAACTCATCCTTTTTGATGGCTGCATAGTATTCCATGGTGTATATGTGCCACATTTTCTTAATCCAATCTGTCACTGATGGACATTTGGGTTGATTCCAAGTCTTTGCTATTGTGAATAGTGCTGCAGTAAACATACGTGTGCATGTGTCTTTATAGCAGCATAATTTATAATCCTTTGGGTATATACCCAGTAATGGGATGGCTGGGTCATATGGTACATCTAGTTCTAGATCCTTGAGGAATCGCCATACTGTTTTCCATAATGGTTGAACTAGTTTACAATCCCACCAACAGTGTAAAAGTGTTCCTATTTCTCCACATCCTCTCCAGCACCTGTTGTTTCCTGACTTTTTAATGATGGCCATTCTAACTGGTGTGAGATGGTATCTCATTGTGGTTTTGATTTGCATTTCTGTGATGGCCAGTGATGATGAGCATTTTTTCATGTGTCTGTTGGCTGTCTGAATGTCTTCTTTTGAGAAATGTCTGTTCATATCCTTTGCCCACTTTTTGATGGGGTTGTTTGTTTTTTTCTTGTAAATTTGTTTGAGTTCTTTGTAGGTTCTGGATATTAGCCCTTTGTCAGATGAGTAGATAGCAAAAATTTTCTCCCATTCTCTCCCTAATCTTTCACTGTCTCTTCCTCATCCTGCTTTAACTCTCAGAATTCCTCGGCCTTCTATGTTTCTGGAAGAACCATCATCTATGCCTCAATTTTTTTCACACACCTGATTATTTTCTGAATGGGTAGGAGGACATCTGTGCCCATGCGTGTGAGATGTCGTGGTTTCCTCTTTCTGCAGATCTTAGAGCCTGTGTCTTCCCTTCTTGTCAGCATTTCCATGAACCATTATTAGGCCAACCCAAGTATAGCACCAGCCATCCTGAGAGAACCACAACCCGGGCATTAACGTCAGAGGCTGCGCCTGGGCTACATGGCCTTCTCTGTGCCGGCTGGGGCTGGCTCTGCGAGTCACCCCCTCTGTCTGACAAGCTGTATTTAGCTATGGGGTGACAGGCAGCTGGTGGGGTTTCCAAACTGAACCTTGCAGTACTTGATTTGAATAACTAAAGTACTGTTTTGAGTGCTACTTTTCCTATAAGTTTTCATTTCATGTTGGTGAGTAAATATGACCGCTCTTCTCCAAACCAAGGGGTGGTTTTGCTGGTGCATTGCCATGCATGAGCGGCCAGCCCACCCAGGGAGGCCTCAGAGCAGGATCTGGTGGTGGCCTTGAAGCTGTGCAGCCCTTCCCCGGGGGATGATGCCACAGGTGCTCTGTGCTTTCACGGTGGGGGTGGATTCAGAACCCAGTGGTGGGACTCCAGATAGCACGGCATGGTTTCCAGCCACCCCGCAGAGCTTTATCCCCTAACCCTATAGTGATACAGTTCTACCTTTCTGCAGCTCATATCTATAGATGAACAGATACATAATTGTGTGTGTGTGTGTGTGTGTATATACATGCTTTTTTTTTTAATATCTGTGAAGAGAACCAGTTGAAAGCAATTAATTTTAACCCTGTTCCTTTGGTTCCCGGGAACCTTGGATGAGCTCCCAGTGTTTGAGCCTGAGTCTGTGTGGGGCAGGGGAGAAGGGGAAGGCAGGTCAGCTACTAAAAATCTCCTGGGGTTGTACGCAAGATGCCACGTTGGTGCCCGTGTCCTTCTGGGGACGGGGTCCTTCTTTTGTATCACATCTTCAAAGAGGTTTCTCACCCATAAAAGCTGACCCTGAGCTCTTGACAGGCTCTTGGTCCCTCCTCCCCATTCTCCCCTCCCCCTTTCTCCTCCCCTGTCCTATGTGCTGAGCTTGGTCTTCCACGTTGCATTCTCTCAGCCAGGGTAGTGACAAGCAGGCGAAGCTAATCAAGTTTGTCCTCCAGCTTACCTGTCCTAAGGCCACCAATGGTAGAGTCCCCCATCATCCCAGTCAAATGTCAGAAAAGCCAAAATTGAGCTGCATTAAAGACGAGGAGCTGACCAGGAGCGGAGGCTCACGGCCATAATCCTAACACTTTGGGAGGCCGAGGTGGGTGGGTCACTTGAGGCCAGGAGTTCAAAACCAGCCTGGCCAACATAGTGAAACCCCTTCTCTACTAAAAATACAAAAATTAGCTGGGTATGGTGGTGCATGCTTGTAATCCCAGCTGTTTGGGAGACTGAGGCATGGGAATCGCTTGAACCCAGGAGGCGGAGGTTGTAGCGAGCCAAAGCAAGAGTCTAGACAGACAGACAGACAGACAGACAGACAGACAGACAGATAGATAGATAGGGAGTGGGGAAATATGGAATGCCCAAGCCAACATTCCTTAATTACAGAAGAGAGAGAATCCTGAGGTGCTCACGTGGAGAAACACTGGCCCCCCGTTTGCTTCTGATTTTAACCCTGTGATTGCCGTGTCTCCTGTGACACAGTGCAGAGGAAGCCTCCTCTAAAGTGTGATTTCTCAGATGGATGGGCCCTGTTGGGCAGACTGTCACAACTGGGTGGGGTGGCCTGGTGAGGTCTAGCTTAGTAGGGGTAAAGGGCAGCCACCATTTCCACACCTCAGCACACACCTCCATGAAAACCAGGGGCTAATGTCCCAGAGCCAGGCCATCTGTCCACTTACCCCTGTGTGGGCAGCCCTCGGCCTGCTAGCCCACGCAGCCTCGGGGCAGATCTGTGGCTGTTAGAAAAGGAAAAGCATTGCCTTTGGCTTTGTGGTTGCACCTTAGTACCACTTCCTGGTCATTTTCCTGTCAGCACCGCTCCTGCCTGAACCAAGAGCAGGGGAGGCCTGACTACCATTTCATTCCTTCCTTCTTGGAACTTGCTTAGGCTGCCTGTGTGAGCAGCCCTGGAGGAGGGGCTTCTCAAAGCTTTTCTCCAAAAATGTGCATCAGCGGTGCTAAGCATGGATACCTCTGTCGGCAGCAAAACTGTTCAGCTGGGTTCAAGCATAGGTCAGTGGCATTCCTTAGGTTCTGTTTTAAAACAGCAGTCATATAGACACATTTACTACTGCAAAATTGAGTCCCTGTGATTCATAGTTTTCAGGGCCTAAGGGTAGAGGGTTGTGGCCTTGTAGGAGGCTGGCAGCTCCATCTGTAAGGCCGGAAGCTTGGCGGGGGTGGAGTGATGGCTGCCAGTGGCTTCTTAGTAGTGCTGGGTTGGCCAGCAGTGAGTAACTGACCCAACACCTTCTGTCTTAAGCATTCAGGTAGAACTGGAAGCCGAGGCGGAAAAGATGCGGGTGTCCCAGCAAGAATTCCTTTCTGTTGATGAATCTGTTTACACTCCAGACTCTGATGTGGCCGCACCACAGATCAACAGGAACCTCATCCAGAAGGCTGGTTACCTTAATCTCAGAAAGTGAGAATGCCACCGTCTGCCTCTTTTTCTGAAATCAGTTTTCCCTAAGAAGTGGCTGAAAAGCAATCTTACATGCCCCATTAAAGTCGGAGGGAGGTGGGCGGGTGAGACTGGGAAGAACTCCCATCACAGCAGCCCTCCCACTTGCAACATAGGAAACCTCTGGGGCCCTAAGAGATGGGGCTGGAATGAGTCCTTTAAGAGCCCGGTGCTGTAGACTCCAGGACACTGTGGCCCACCCTTGTCTCTGGTCACTGTGGCCATGTGCAAACAGACCACTCTTAACTGTTACCATCCTGGACCACTGACATTTTTTATCCCGTCATGCCACTTCCCCCACACCAGCTGGCGGGTGAGAGCCATGTGCTGGAGACCTACCCGTGAGCCAGAGGCAGCGTCAGAAGGCTTTTAGAGTCAGTTCGATTCATACTGATTGGGTCACACATTTACCACTCGGGTCTTTAAGTGTCCATTTTGAATGGAAGGGATGATCAGGTTTAAGTGCTTCTGTGAGCGCAGAGGATATTGTCATGGTGTGGTGTGAAAAGCACTGACTTTGGAATCAGACAGCCCAGCTGGGCTGAGCCTTGATCTCTTCATGTGTAAAATGCAGCTGATAACCGCACCTGCTTTATGATAAAGTTAGATTGAATGTGTTCATCCCTCCCAGGCAGTGAGCACTCAGATGTCAGCCGCTGCCATTTGGGGAAATTACTGGGACAGGAAAACCAGTGCCTTTGGACATAGTTGCTACTCTGTAAATACTGAGCCAAGTAAAGTATTTGAAAACCCCCAGTGGAGGGTCCATGGAGAGGAATTGCCAGCTGTTAGCAGGCTGGAGCACCTCTAAGGTCTGGGAACTTGCAGCGATCACAAGCTAAATGTCCCCTGGAGTTCTGCAGGCGTAGAAAACCCACTGGGTTCTGTTGTTACTTGCCAGGAACTAGATTTTCCTTTTGTAAGCAGCCCACAAAACAAGAATGACCTTCAGTTAAAGCAAATCTGTTGAGAGCCTCCTAGGACCGGTGGGTGCTGTGGGCTAAGGCAACCGTGAGTAGATTCAGAGCAGCTCAGCTCCAGGTCTCAGAGAAGTGATTCTCCAGGTGTTCAGTTCTTCATGGTGGTGGACTCATTCTAGTTCCATCTCCTGGTTTAGTAGTCAGCGTGTGGCTGCAGTGCGGGGTCGGCCCTGGGACTGGTATCTCCCTTGGAAGCAGAGCCCGTGATCTCCCAGATCATTCTAGCTAAATTGTACCCTTCTGCTGCTCTTTCCACTTGAATGGGCAGTTTTGCTTTAACGATACAAAGAAGCACATTATTTCTATAATGCCACCAGTACCCATAACGAGGCAGCAAGACTTAGAGGTGCGGCTGGTGCTTTCTGGTACTAATGGGCTTTTTAAAACACAACCCACAGCAAAACAGGGCTGGTCACTACCACCTGGGAGAGGCTTTATTTCTTCACCCAAGGCGGGAATCTGATGTGTCAGCCCAGGGGAGCTGTGGCTGGAGGTTTGATCCAGGACCTGGACAACTGCTCAGTAATGGCCGTGGATTGCGAAGACCGGCGCTACTGCTTCCAGATCACCACACCCAATGGAAAATCGTATGTCTCACGCGTTTTATTTGGGAGGAGAACGAGTATAGTGGTTTCACCCGTGCCAGGGGCCTCCTAGTTCATTCCTACGTGCCAGCCTTCTGTGGGAGAGGCCCCAGTCTGGGTATTGTTTACCTTTCAGGAGGATGATTTTCTGCTCTCTTTAAACAAGCCCACGTGACCCATAAGGGATCCAGCCTGTCTTATCCCATATGGAGATAAGTGAGGGTTTGTCTGTAGCTTTGGAGATGACCTACATGTGTGAGACAGCAACAGAAGTCATGCGTGTTAGCACAGATTCTGAGAGAGAGAGAAGGCTGTAGCGACTCCTAGCCTGTTGTAAAGAAGCATTTGTGTTTGGATTGTGGCAGGGGAGGGTAACTGCATTTTGGTAAGGACGACCTTCCTGAGAAGGCCATTTTTCCAGCAGAAGCGGGAGTTGTGAGAAGTACACTCCGCTGCAGCAGTATTGGCGGCTGCCATGCTGTTCCCACACGCCCTGTGTACCTGAGGGGCCCCAAAGAGGTGGTACTTTAACGATCCACAGCCTGTGGTCGTTCACAGTAGATCCCGTCCCAGTGGGATCCCCTCTCAGAGCAGTGGTTTTTAAACTGCCCCAAGGAGTTCAGAGTCCCATGGAGGGGCTTCAGGGTTCACCTGCCTGGGGAGAGGAGTGGCCCTGCCCGTCATCAGAGCTGCTTTTCTGGCATTGCATTCTATTAAGATTTGACGTGAACCGCAGGGGGGCGCGGTGGGGACGGCGTTGGGATGATGTCTGTCCTCCCAGCTTGGCAGAGCAGCTTTAGACCCCGTCCTTCCTGCTTTGGTGATGGGAATGGAGATTCCTGGATGCTCATCATGGTCCTTTGCAGTTACCTCCTCTGGGCCTCACTTTCCTCAGATAGAAAATAGAAATAAGATCTATGTTGCCCCATCTGCCACAGATGAGAGGAACAAGGGAACCGGCAGATGTGGGGTCTCTTTAAAGAGGTAAAGCCTCGGCCGGGCGCGGTGGCTCACGCCTGAAATCCCAGCACTTTGGAAGGCTGAGGCGGGGGGATCACCTGAGCTCGGGAGTTTGAGATCAGCATGACCAGATGTGGAGAAACCCTGTCTCTACTGGAAATACAAAATTGGCCGGGCGCGTTAGTGGTGGTGGGCGCCTGTAATCTCAGCTACTTGGGAGGCTGAGGCAGGAGAATGGCTTGAACCCAGGAGGCAGAGGTTGCGGTGAGCCGAGATCACACCATTGCACTCCAGCCTGGACAACAAGAGCGAAACTCCGTCTCAAAAAAAAAAATAGAGTTAAAGCCTCCACAAAGGTAGGGCAGTATTACTGTTACCTTATTCCCGGGCCTCCATATGCAGACTTTTCAGTTCTGGGAAAGGAGTGAATGGGCTGCCAAGTCCTTCTTTGGGCATGGTGGAGGAGTGGCTGGGCTTGGAGTCCTGGTCATCTTGGATCATTAGAGGAGGTCGACAGATGAATCTCACTGTAGAATCAAAGACTTGGGCTAGAAGATCTGAGTCCCACCTTCTGATTTCATAGAAGAATATGCTGAGGCCCAGGGAAAGGGCCGTGTTTGTCCAAGATCACACAGTGAATCAGGGAGAGCCAGATCTACAAGCCCGTTTTCTTTTTTTTCTTTTTTTTTTTTTGAGATAGGGTCTTGCCCTGTCACCCAGGCTGGGGTGCAGTGGCACAATCACCACTCACTGCAGCCTCAACCTCCTGGGCTCAATCAGTCCTCCCACTTCAGCCTGCCTAGTAGCTAGGACTATAGGCACACGCCACCACGCCCAGCTAATTTTTGTATTTTTTGTAGAGAGGGGGTTTCACCATGTTGCCCAGGCTGGTCTCGAATTCCTTGGCTCAAGCCATCCTCCTGCCTCGCCCTCCCAAAGTGCTAGGACTGCAGGCGTGAGCCACTATACCTGGCCCTGGAACCCCATTTTCTTTCCCTCTCATCATGCTGCCTTCGTGGCCCGTTTCCTCCCACACCCCAGCTAAGTTCAGTTTATGTAGAATAATCCCCAGTCACTGAGATCGGGGAAGTACTTAATTACTCAGATGCTTTTGTTTCAGGGGAATAATCCTCCAGGCTGAGAGCAGAAAGGAAAATGAAGAGGTAAAGATTTTGTTTGTCATCCTTCTTTCCTAGTGTGGTGGGTGACTTTGGGATTCAGTATTCTTTTTTAATGTCCTCTACAGTGGATATGTGCAATAAACAACATCTCCAGACAGATCTACCTGACCGACAACCCTGAGGTAATTAACAGTCGCCTGCATCTCAGCCCTTTTCTCAACCTGGAAGGTAAGCATCCACCTCCTGGGACTGAGTGTGTCTTCCTGTGGATTTTTAGGCAGTCGCGATCAAGTTGAATCAGACCGCTCTGCAAGCAGTGACTCCCATTACAAGTTTTGGAAAAAAACAAGAAAGCTCATGCCCCAGGTAACTAAAAGACAAAGGAGAACTTGCTTTTGTGGAGCCAAATTATGGATTAGGAATATGAAATGAGTTGTTGCTTAATCCACACAAACCAAGGCATGTTTTTCAGCCTGTTTAACAGAAGCAGTAACGCTGGCTGGGAAAGTTAAACATCTGCCCATGTTCACACCATGTTGTGAGTGGTAGAGCTAGGAGTCAAGCCTGTCTGATGTCAGCAGCCCTGTCCCTTCCACTGGGCCGTGCTGCTGCAGTCCAAGCAAACAGGACATGCATGGAGGGGCCTGCTAGTCAGGAGTTCTCCCCACATTTTCTGTCAGCTTCAACAAAGTAACTGAACGAAAGCAAAATTTTTTTTTTAAAATAAGGAAAAAAAATCACCTTTTATATATCCATATTAATGCCCATAAGTCTGCACATACGGTGATCGTTTTATACATACATTTATTTTGTATTCGCACATACTTTAACTATTTCTACATTTTTCAGAATTGTTCCTTTTAGTAACTACACCCTATTCCATCATTTATTTATTTACTTATTTATTTATTTTTAATTTTTTTTGAGATGGAGTCTCACTCTGTCACCTAGGCTGGAGTGCAGTGGCGTAATCCCGGCTCACTGCAACCTCCACTTCCCGGGTTCAGGTGATTCTCCTGCCTCATCCTCCCGAGTAGCTGGGATTACAGGTGCCCGCGACCACACCTGACTAATTTTTGTCTTTTTAGTAGAGATGAGGTTTCACTGTGTTAGCCATGCTGGTCTTGAACTCCTCACCTCAAGTGATCCACCCGCCTCGGCCTCCCAAAGTGCTGGGATTATAGGCATGAGCCACTGTGCCTGGCCCATTCCACCATTTATTAACCATTGATTATTTAGGTTATCTCCCCGGCGTTTACTGTTATCATTTAGAGCAAACATTTTCATGCATACAGCTTTCCTCATTTTGAATTCTGCTTTAGGATTTATTCCAGGAATCCTACCCTTTGTCTTAATGGGAGTTTCCATCTGGTTAAATGGTAGAGGGCTGTATTTTCATACTAATGAAAGCCTGGCATTAAAGGGTAAATTACAATTATGACTATATTTGGTGTTCGTCTTTTAGTGGCATGGTAGAAAGAACCCCATTACATTTTTTACAAATATCTAATGACCCCAGAAGGAAGTCATTAAAAACTCAGGGTTAAGTAACTTCCCAGGATCTGTGCAGTGTGGAGCCAGTGTTCACACGCTGGGCACTGGGTGCCTGAGAAGGAATGGGAGAAGGTAAGGCCAGAAAATAGGTTTGAGTCTAACTGGAAAGACCTGGGTGCCCTGCTTAGGAGTTACAGGCAGTGGAACAAAACGGAAGGTTTTGGGAAAATGGGCAATGGTCAGAACCAGGGTTAGGAAGACTGTTCTGCACCTGAGGAGGATAAATTGGATACAGGTTGTGGGAAGAAGGGGAGAGTGCAAGACCCAGTAGGATGTTGATGTAGTAGTAGCTGTGAAGCAGAACATGAGAACTTAAACAAGTGTTTTAAAAAAAGAGGAGGAAGAGGCAACAAGTCCGAGAAATATTTCAGCACCGTAACTTAAGGATTTAACAGTTTATACAAGTAGCATGCTTTATGAAATGGAACTCTAAGGTAGATACTACATGAAAGGAAGTGGAACTAAAGTCCATCCAGTCAGTGAGGGTTAATCCTGTAGCCTTCTCCTGGGTAAATGTATGTCTTCGCTTTGTAAAGTTACAAAAATGTTTGATACGCACAGGAGGGAATACCAGACCTGCAGTTGAGAGACATGGGTTCTAAGGATAGCTCTGCCTTGTGTTATACACAGCTAGGTGTCCCTGAGTAAGTCAGTAAATGCTCTGGGCCTTCGTCTTCTCAGCCTTGTAACATACAAGGAACTAGCTGACCTCCTAGGACCCTTCTAGCTCTGATATGCCATCTCTCAAGGGTGCTGATGGATAGTTTAGGAGGGTTCGGAATTAGAAGGTGTGATAGGTTTCCTAAAAAGACAATTTGCAGCCCATATTTAATTATTCAGTAACTGATTTTTTTCTCCCCTATTCTAGAATAAGCAAATCACATTCTTAGACCAAAAGGATCCCACAGAAGGGACACAGAACACTCCCTGGGGGAGAAAAATGACTCTAGCCAGCTGGCTGAATTAGCCCAGTGATTGGATGGGGGACAGATGTGGCTGCCAGATGGCCCTAGAGCTGTGGGGAGAGGGCTACTATCTCTGTTAGGGTCATCCCACTAAGAATAAAGCAATGTTTTGATGACAGTGGGGGGAAAGAAGCAGAGAAATTGTGTTCTTGGGAACAAACTGCCATTTACTTCTAAGCAAGTATCATATGTGGACTTCCCTCATTCTGTAGTTACTATATATCTACTGTTCATTCATTTATCCAGCTACTCAACAAATATTTGAATATCTACTATTTGCCCAGGGCTGGCCTAGGTAAGGAAACATAGAGATTACTGGGGAGAACAGGCAAAAGGTAAGCACAGACTGAGTTAAAACGAGGGAAGCACTTCGACGTTAAGGAGATGAGGTGCTGTCATGGAGGGTGAAGAGGAGACCTGTGCAGGGCCTGGCTGTGAAGATAATATTCAAGCTGCAAAGTAAAAGACAAGATGCGGCTACTCTTGCAAAGAGCCGGAGGTGGTGTATTCTTGGTAGCAATTGTGGAGGTAACAGGATAGAGAAGAGCTTAGTATATCTGAGGAACTGAAAGGAGGCAGTGTAACGGGACAGTGCAGGCAGAGGGAGATCATGGGGCATGATGGGGTGGTGGGGAGGGTGGCAGGGACTGATGATGAAGGAAGCATGCAGGGAGCTGTGGAAGGGCTCTGAGAGCTGTGTGTTTGTGATGGAGATGGAGATACCCACTCTCCATTTTCCAAAGTTAGCTCTGGCTGCTCTGGAGAACACAGAACAGAGCAAGGCAGGAGCCAGTGAGGAGGCATCCCAGCAGCCCAGGATTAGATGATAGTGGTTTAGACCAGGATCATGGCAGAGATGAAAAGTAGATGGGTGTGGACTTACTCTGGAGGTAAAACCTATGGGACTGGACTTGACGGATAAGCGTAAACAGAAAAGGACAGATCAAAGGATGACTCCAGTTGGAGCTGAACACCTGGGCAGATGGTGTTTCTTTAAGAGACGAAGAGTTCAGTTTTGGACATGTTAAGCATGAGAGGCCTATGAAACATCCCATATGAGTTGTCAAGCAGTCAACGGATGATACAGGTGTGGAGTGCAAAGAAAACGTCTGGGCTGGGTGTATGAATCGGGGACTCCCAGCACTGAACAGCAGTGGATGAGGTCCTCTATGGGAGAGAGGAGAGGGAGGGGAAAGCAGAGCCTGCAACCGAATCCTAAAGAACTCCAGCAGTTAGGGTAGAAAAGGAGCCTGCAAAAGACATTGAAAAGGAACATCAAGAAAGGTAGGAGGAAACTCTATAAATTAATGTGGCACCAGCAGAAACCAAGAGAGAAGAGTTCAAGGAGAGATCAGCTGTGTTAGATGCCTTAAGTCAATTATGATGACTGCAAAGTGTCCATTAGAGCTGGTGACATGGAGATCACAGGTGAAAATTAACATCATGTCACTCCTATGTTCAGAGTCTTTGGTGGCTCCCTATACTGTTGTGTCAAGTTTAGACCCCACCTGATGGTATAAGGGCCCTCTACAACCTGGCCCCACCCTATCTTGATTGTTATCTCCCCACTTTGACTCTCTGGGGAGCCAAAATCTTGGACTCACTTTCTCCCCTTGAAGCTTCTACTCATAGCTTTCTCCAGTGCTTACTACTTATTATATTACAGCCCTCTCTTAAAGACAGGATCAAACAGCAGATGTGACTCTCCCATTTAGGGTTATTGAGGCAGTATGACATCCTGGGGATGCACTCCCCCTGGCAGTAAGGAGACCCTGTTTTTAATCTGGCTTGCCTACCAGGTAACTGAGTGCCTTCAAAACTGCTTAATTTCTCCAGAGGCCTCAGTTTCCTTTTCTGTTAACAATGGAGGTCAGACCAAGTGGTCTCCAAGGGCTTGCCTTGCAGTGACCGTCTACAAGCCTATGTACAGTGTTTCAATCCACATTCCAGTAAGTATGATCATTTGTCAAATACCTGTTGTAAAGTAGTTTGATACACTACATTCAGTTATTGACATGTTTGAGAAATAGGAAAATATTGACATATCCAGTGAACAGAAAGATCACTGAGAGCTTTCTATGGTCCATGCAATGAA